TGATTTCCAGCAGCTGAAAACAGACCGCTGCCTGAAAAGAGGTGAGTTGTCATAACATCGAAAAAACGCATTGTATGCGTAATTAAAGCGAGTATTTATATATTAATTATCAGTAGTAACAGTTGCATTACAAAAAAACAAAAACTTTTTTTTTTCTAATGCAATCGTGATTAGATGTTATATTGTCCCCAATCACCTTCAAGTATCTTTATAAATGTACCAATAAAGAGATAAACAATCCTACTTAACATAGGGATATACACTGGGATGATTCAAGCCTGTAGAAGCACAGCATGCTGCATTTTACAGGCTTGAATCATCTTTCCCGTGTATAAAAAGTGTCAGGGCATTGTCTCATGACATATTGGAGACGACATACTAATGAACAGTTGACTTGACCTTCCTGCCACTGCAGGAGACAGAGGAGGTCTGTCTTCCTGGAGGAAGTCTGCTGCCCATGTCTTACCTGATAAAAAGAGAAGCAGCATGAGGATGAATAAATACATCTTAAAGAAACAAACCATATCCCAGTAAAACATGTATATGGCACCATAGCAGTATCAGATACTCTTTATTGGAGGGCTGTGTGATCAAAATACATTGACTCAATCCGGGAAGATTCAATATATTGTAGGTGTACATCAATGATTTTCATGTTGAAATGAGGGTCAATCTTTTATATGAAATAGATAAAAGTGGCCTTGCAGGTTGGAGGGGCAGTGCCATTCATTAATATTTAAATAGAAGGATTTTAAAAATAGTCTAGACAGAATTACACCCAGTAGACTATTTTTGGTCATTTGAATAAAAATAAAACATATTAATTATAGATGAGGTCATCTATTTCCTCATGCCTTTTAAAAAAGAAATCTGCATGACGTAAAGGACACTGAATGCAATATTTATGTTTAAAAGCAAAATAACAATTCTCCAATGCTCATTTTTCTCTTTAGTGCAGAAAACAACGTGAAGTTGGAAGTATGCTTAATGCTAAAAGGGCAAATGTATGTGAGCTTTACCATAGAGATCACTTATGCATGACCCACTTAGCTGCTGAAGACACCAAGGACTTACAGACCTTAGGACTCTTCGGTTATTGCAATATAGACCTCTTTCGTTTTCCTTATAGTTCGGCCTAAATAGAAATGTTGCCAGTGAAACCTTATTTTATTATTCCTATAAATGTGGTACATGGCGGCTAAAGATAGCCAGTGATGTGCTGAAACACTGCCAATCAATCCTACTCGCCTCCCTGCGACACATGAAAGGGGAAGGGAGCCGATTCAATCGCCTAATGGAGGTGGATCTGACTGTCGGTGCCTGTTAGGGAGTGTGGAGGTTAAAAATGATTTGTTGACCAAGTTACGGGATTTAGAAACGCAAGGGCAGGAAATGTAATACAGCAGTTGAGAAAAGGCAGGCAGCGCTCAATAAACCCTCCATATCTTGTTCGTCTGCATAATGACCTTTGTCTCCTCCTTAAAGGGTCCCTATTGTGTTCATTTTAAGTTCATATTTGTATTTATGTCCTCTACTGTGACATATTTACATGCTTTAATGTTCAAAAAGCTCTTTATTTTTCTCATACTGCCTGCGCTGCAGCACCTCTTTTCACCCTCTGTCTGAAACCAGAGCCCAGTCTGCTCTGATTGGTTTGCTGGCCAGCTATGTTGCGATTGATGAACCGCTTAAGAATGTCCCGCCCCTTAGCCTATCATGTACAATGTGTTAGAGCACTAGCCAATAGAAGTGCGAGGTTAGCCTTTGCAGAACATTTACATACAACCTATATAACACTACAGGAATGAGAAAAGGCCAAATAGGCCCCCTTTAACCACTGTAATTTATACTGCCATATAAGTACTGAAGTATTTGTTGCTTTTCTTCCATGTCAGCCACTAGAACAATAAGATATCACATGAGTTAAGGGAAACTTCATGACTCGGATCACACTGTAAACTTGTGGTGTTTTCGTACTACTGTAAGTCATGTGTTACAGAAGAGAGAGGGGGCCGGATGTATTCATTCTTAAGGCTATAACCTCAAAATAAATAAATGACCTAATTAATCACAGCGCATCTTCATCAGAGAAGGGACTGTTTGTTGCACTGGTGACGTGTTCAGACACAAATTGCAGAGAAACGATAAACAGACTAACCTTTTATGATCCTCTCAGGTCACATCTACCACACACTGCAGCAGAATGAATATTACTGGGCAATCATTGTTATCCCAAAATCCACTGGCATGGCTAAAAAACAAAATCGGATGGACAAACAGGATAGGATTCTTTTTTGTTTTCCTCATATTTCGGATTCTCCATGACTCAATACATAAACCATGTGTCTTGAATGTTTTATGTAAGACTCATAAAAACACAGTAGAACAAATTGTGCCTGCAAACCACTGATGTGCTGCCAAGCAACAGATATAAATTGACACAGTTAGCTCTTACGCAGACAGCGTCACTTTAGCTAGACAAATTACTTTGATTAGATCTCTTTATAATTGGTATCATTGAGGGAATCATCTTACCTAATACACCTTTATAGACCACTTAAATGAATGAATAAGGTTTTAAATCAGTGGAAGTTGATGGAAAAGTTATTCCATCCGCATGTATGAATGTTTCCTGAAACAAAGAACTTTCTCGCTTCTTTTGAGGGGGTGCATGTCCATACTCGCCTACACCTGAGTGAGACATGGAGAGGTTCAGAGAGCCTCCCATAAAACCCATAGAGGCATGCGGTTAATTGCCCCTCCTACACACAACCACAAAGGCAACCACTAACCTAAAAAGCCTGCAGTTACATTTCCAGAACCTCCCTACGCTTTGCACCAGAGGGGGAGAGCACATTTCGGTCTACAAAGGGAGTTATAAAATGCTCCTCTTATTGTAAAAAAAAAACCCAAGTGCACAATGGCTTGGTTTTACAAGGCAAGTACACATATTTGGAGAGCACACTGCTGAAGTCAGAGTCTGAATATAACTACAGCTGCTGCAGTGTGGGAGTCAAACATGTCTGCAGTTGGTGTGGTTATCGAGTGCAGAGCTGGGGAAACGTCCCCAACTGATTTCCTTGCGAGCAGATGACACACGGTTTTCCATTCTTTGCACATGGATAAAAGCTTGACGTATAAATAGCAACTCTTTGGCACTAGGTTGTCATTCCCACACAGCACAGCGCTCTATGACAGTAAAGGGCCTACATTATATAAATACTTAATAAAAATGCAGACAGGAAACTGCGCCTTTAAATGAGATGTAAGGACTTCTGTTAGGTTTTGATTCAACAACTATAAATATAGAAAATTACACTGGAGTGTCATCACAGTCATTACTGCTTGAAATGAAAACAGGGGGCTTCAGGTACAGGCCTAAACGACAGGTATATTCAGATAGAGAAAAATAATGTGTTTTCTGAACATTAAAGCATGTAAACATGTTCTAGTAGAAACCCAAAATACGTAAGAATGCACCTGAAAATGAGCATCATATGTCGTCTTTCCATGTCAACAACTGTATCTTAAAAACAGAAAATGCCAGCGTGTTCATCCCTCTAGTGAAAAATGTAAATATTTTGTGAGAGACTGTTTTCTTTCTGGCAGAGAGTTAGATGAGAAGATTGACACCAAATCCATAAATATGTGGCAAGAACAGCTAGCCTGGCTCGGTCGACAGCTAACAAAGAAACACATTAAAGCACCCCTTAAACTGACTCATTAAAACATTATATCTTGTTTGGAAAAGTGTAAAAATTATAATTTGCAGTTGCCAAGCAACTTGCAGCAATTTACCAGTCCTTTTTTAATCATGTTTTTATTTTTTTATTGGACTGCATTTATGGAGCGCTTTTCTATCCTACTCCAAATGCTTTCCAACAGCATAAGTAAGCATTCACACACATGTATTCAAAGGCACAGGCTGCCATATAAGGTGCAATAACGACTTTTTAATATACATAAACAGCGTGTGTGTAATTATAAAAAAGCAGTTATTGCAGGTGATGATATGTGTATATAAGCATGTCATGATGTATGAGGTGATATAGTGAATTTGTTTCTTGTATCCAGCATTTACAGTGAACCATTATCTTTCATTTTGAATCGTGTTTGTTTTCACCTGATGAATGAAAGTCAAACATTCAGTCTCTTTTTGCTCTGGTTTTGGTCTCCACCACCTCCTTACGACATAAATCTGTCTCTTTAGCTGCTTAATGTTCCACTCTTTCCCCCAGCAGCTCTCTATCTGTGTCTGCTGCTGTTTGCTGCTGGCTAGGTAGTGTACAGTGAATGTGTGTAGCTTTTTTTTCTTTAACAGCTGTCAGCTTCAGCCAAAAACGATGCGAGAGCCATGAGAAAGAGCCAAAACAATAAAGTTGCAGCATGACAGCGAAACAATGGACCAAAACTCACTATAAACTAGAGGAATTGCAGATTCAGGTGTTAAATACCTGCAAGTTCATCACGACAAGCAAACTCTTCCACATCTACTGATATATTTTTATGATGTAAAACTTGATTATAGCTGTATTTAAAAAACAAATATCAAGGTATCAATATGCTTGTCTAACTCTAGGCCTGAAAGCAAACAAGCATTATCCCAAAATGTAAAATTGCCAGCAAAGTGGGGTCAGAGAAGTGTAAAGTAACTGTTCCAACAATATAACATCTGATGAAGGCTGATGACGGATGTGTACATTTGTCTTTCTGGGTGAACACCATCCCTGCCCCATGCCCGCTGAGTCACATTGCTCACATACACTCTCCACCCGTCGCCTGCCCTCCAGCAGTTGGCACAATGGTGTCATCTCAAGCTCTCAGCTGTTATTGAGGCGTACCACTGACCAACCAGCAGCTGTCTGCGACCGCGGCAACGCTCACTGCTATATCATCTCCAGAGTGGAGCATCAGATATGGATAAATACAGTATATGATTCAACCTCTAAAATATCTTCTACTTGGTATACTTAAACATGGAAATAGAGACTAAATGGTTGCAAACATTTAATTTTCATTGTTTCTTCTCGACAAATACTTAGAAACACATACCTTGCATAGAAGCATTTTGAAACAGATAATCACAGTTCATGTGTCTGAGAAATGTACATATCTGCAGTATAGATGACCTTGAACGTTTCATACAGGAAGCCATACTCTGGAGTCGTTAAAAAAGAAGGACTGCTTTGGCAAAATCTGTGGATCGTAGAAACCTGAAAGAGGGAGATAAATGATTTACTGCTTTTATATTAGCAATCTCACCAGCAATTAAAATAATATAATTAAGAATACATACATGTCTTTCTATAGCTAGAGAACATTATTTCAGAAAAATAGACACCATGAAATGTGAGATGTATTGTAATGAGATGTAATTTTTTTTAAATTAGGTTATATTTAATGGGAATAGTTGCATTAACAATTGTGTTGAACAAAACGTATATAGAATTTGGGTTTGCCTTGAAAAACCCAGTTATAAATCACACTAAATTCTGAGGGCGTCGGTTGTGATAGCGTAATACAACCAATCTGTGTGGTTCGTGATGTAATCAACAGCGATGTGTGTACCATCATAGCAGATAAATAACACATGTGAAAGCATAACAACAAAACTTCACTCCAGTCAACTCAATCACCTTCTGACATCATAGGTGTCAAGGGGTCAAACCCCAAGAATGTAAATTATTTACCAATGCAATTTAACCAATAAATAATGTAGACATTTTTTCCATGCCATTATAATGACATACACAACCAAACATCATATTCAAATGCTTCTTCAACAGCCATGCATAGCATAACAACTAAGACTAATTTAAGTGAGCATGATTGATATGTTTGATCATTAGAAAAAAATATTTAATGTAGATAAGCATTGAGACTTAAAAAGTGAGACTGATAGGGTTAAATATCTAGAAGCTTCTCTGAGTCATTTTATGGTGAAATGTTGTCATTAAATGTGTATGTGCACCTTCTTTCCCTGCCTCATTTACATATACTTAAGTCAGCAGTTTCCAACATTTCCAACACTCAATTTCAACTGCTCCCAGAGAGGGGCTGCATATTTAAAGCAAACCTAATCTTATACTTGTGTTTTTATTTAAAGACATACAAATTAGCAACATTTTCATATATTTCAATTGTATATGAAATGTAAAAAATGATTTGGTTTCACTGGATAGATAACACAAGCTGGAGTTTTTATGTGGTGTTAGTGAGTCAAAAGGTTATCTGTATCTGCACTGGAAATATCCTATAATCACCTGCTTGTGTGTTGGTATTTAAATAAATAAAAGTACATATTACCAATAACCGAAATGTCCTGTTTAATGCATGAATGTGTTGATGTTTCATTTAGTGGATGTGATTGTTTTTTAGGCATTACCTGGTCCTGGCGTCATGCCGCCCAGTGAGTCTCGGGGTGTCCTTTCAGTTCTGGATGCAAACGCTGCAGTTGGCTTGGGATACAGGCAGTTTTTATCCCTTATGTCATAATGCCCCGGGCCTGGAAAGGGAGGGTCCTTAGGGACAATCAGAGGAGGTGCTGATATTGCCAAATAAAATCCTCTCCTTGAAACACAGTTCACAGAATTCACATTGTTAGATTATTGAAAATAATTAACTAGAGTCAACATAACCAGTCAGATAAATATGGTTTGTTTACTCACGGCAGAATGGTCTTCTTCACCGGTGCAGGGGGCTGATGGGGGCTGTAGGCTCCTGGGCCTGGTACATGGTTGTCAACCAGAGGAGGGATTCTCTGAGTTTTTGATTTGAAAGGGGACACGACTGCTTTGGAGCTTTGCTGGATTATATTGCAGCGTACTTCATAGTGGCCTTCAACAAACGTATGATGTAAAACAAATAATATTAAGACAGAAATATGAAAACAAATATTATGCATGATCTTTAATAGAGAGGTAATTACATGGTGATGGCAAATCATTGTTTATAGAGTCCCGTTTAGTTTTTGACAGGAAAGTTGATGTGCCAACCCCTGAGGAGAAGCCCCCTCTGCTGCTATAACGGACCTGTCACAAAAGCAACAAAATGAAAGATATAAGTTAACTACAGGATGCAGAACACATTATTTAAAAGCACCTTGCATTATTCTCATACATCATATTGATTTGGGGCTGGAGTTGGGTGCTTCGGACCCTCCTTCTGCACAGCCACGGGCAGCCTGAACACCCTGGAGACTCCTACGTTGAACTTGTTCTTGTTTACCAAGGAGCTTGGCAGGGTGTAGGCATTCGGTCCTGGGGTGCATCTCTGTGGGTTACCAGGACCCCTGGTAGTCTATGGGAGAGGATGATACGACAAATAATGCTCCAACTAGAAAAATATTGAGTATATTCACAGGCGATCAGCAGAATTTCAGAGTTTCAGGGTCATAAAATACCACTGTTATCATGTAATTTGTATTTTGTGTGGGGATTTAAGCAGTTAAAGGACACCATAACACCATATGTCATGGACACCATAACATGTCATGTTGGGAAATCTTTACAGACATGTATGTTTAATTAGATACTCAATTACGTAATCGACAAATAGGATAAAATATTTGCAATAAGTAGGACTTTTTTTTTTTTTAATTGACCACTGAATTCCTATACACATTCATTTTGGGGAACTGACCTTGTATCCAACAAAGCCTGTGGTGCCTTTCTTGGAGAAGGAGGGACTTTGGACTTCAGCACTGGAAATAGATCCATGACTGCCTGGTCCTGGACTTTCATTCTGAAACCAAAGCATAGGCTAATGTTAATATTGTTTATATAGTTTTGTTTTTAGCTGATCATTTAAAGTAAGGGTTGGAGAGTCCCTACCAGACATTTGTTTGAGGGGAATCTCCTAGCTTGAGATGAAAATCCTTTAACTTCTTGATTTGCTTTCACCACTCTTTGGTATGTTGTTGGTAATTGAGATGAAACGATGAAAGCCGGAAACGTTTCTGCTTTAAAATTAAAATATGAATTATTAATGTTGTACTTATTAGTTAAAATGAAATAAAATAAAGTGCTCACTTGGACTCACTTTCATCAAATCTTCGGTCCATTTTGCCCATGGTTCAGTGAAGACGCAGAAAGTCAGCAAATCTTATCGTGTTTCCATGGCGATGTAAACACAGTGGATGGATGGCCCTGACGCGGTCCTTCAGCCCCACCTGTCGGTCACATGGCCGACAAACAGGCTCTTTATACCGGCCCGCCTCTGTTTTGTTTCCAGATAGCTCGATCCATCATGGCGATGCATGCGAAAGCGACTCCACCACAGATCCCGGACACCCGCCGGGAGCTCGCCGAGCTGGTGAAGAGGAAACAAGAACTCGCTGTGAGTCCCGTAACCGCAATGTTGTCAAAGATTAAAGTAGCAGTACTTGTTTGTTATTTTTCCATGTAGAATTGCAGCTAACCGTAACTTAAATGTCAGTGAGTTCTAGCTGAGGCCTTTGCTAAATGCTAAGCTAATGATAGCCGTTGCTAACGTTGGCTTATGCTAGAAGCCCCTGCCTTTATGACTTAGCAATCTAGTTCTCGTTTTGCTATCTAATTTTGACTCTGCTGGTAATGTTTAATAAAAAACACCCCTGTGTTGTTAGCGTTTGGATTTCATTTTATTCAGAAATATATTTTTTTCCGCTCACAGGTATTGCTGCAGCCAGTATGCTAACTAGTTAGCACAGCTACACTTTAGCCGCCGCCCGGTGGGCTCAGTTCTCGCGTTAAGTTCTTCTTCTTCTTTGTCATTTTACGGCAGCCAGCCGGCAACAGTTCAATTGCCGCCACCTTATGAAATAGTCCACTACTGTGTCATCTTCATTCTATATTAAATGTAACTTAAGATGTGAAAATATATGCTTTATTGGCGCTAAGATAACATTTGTCTGGGCAGTAGTAGGCTACTAGACACAGCTGCATCAACTTAAAACAATATGCATTGGCCTACGTCAATGATATATGTATGTGTCAGGAGTGAAATCATTAAAGCCATACTATCCTTTCATTTAAACAAGTGTCTTTTAATAAGTGAAACAGCCGCTGTATTCCTTTACCTTAACCTCAATACTCTAGAATACATTCTTACTATTAGATATCTACAAAACATCGATGTGCACCTATACCCATAGGAAAGTAACCACAGTTTGAATGATGTAAACTTTATTGGCGAATTAAGGTTACTAGGTCTATGTTAGTTAGGCTAGCGATTATGTTTGGCCATTGAATAGTACTAGTACTCAAGTTTGTATCTATTTTTTTTCAATATCTTAGGAGACGCTAGTGAACTTGGAAAGACAAATATATGCATTTGAAGGCAGCTACCTAGAAGACACCCAGATGTATGGCAACATCATCAGAGGATGGGACCGATACCTCACTAATCAAAAGTAAGTTTTACTCTCGGACTGTCTGCATAGATGTTTTCAAGTTTATAGACGAGAAGTAACATATTATTACAGCTGTTATAAGAGCCACATTGATTCCATAATACAAAAATACTTGTGTAACCCATTTTTTTTTTCATTTTTATTTTAATGAAATCGAGACTCTTAAACTTTGTTATCACAAGAAACCAGACAAGTAATTGATTAAACTATATTGGTGAGTCATGGAATTATTGGGCCGTTGCATAGTGGAAACTGTGTCATCACATTTGATCATAAGCTTCTAACCATATATTTGTTATTTTAACAGGAACTCCAATAGTAAGACTGACAGAAGGAATAGGAAATTCAAGGAAGCAGAGCGTTTATTCAGCAAGTCATCCGTCACATCAGTTGCAGTAAGTCCCTCTCTCACTTCACTTTTCCCCAAAATGTGTCAGTTGTTTTTTTGCTGCCCACCACAAAAAATCTAACACATCTGCACTCCCTGTTTTTATTTGCAGGCGGTATGTGCACTTGGTGGGCTACCGGAACACATGAATGAAAAACGTGAGTTGTTGTTGTTGTTGTTGTAAAATGTTCAGGCCAAGCATCTTTGGGATAGTTTCTCTGTTGTTGGTTGTTGTTGTTTTTTTACACCTATATCGTGTCGTCAGGTGAGGCAGGCAGCGGCACAGAAAGCGACGCCTCTCCAGATCTCCAGAACCAAGAGAACGAGCCGAGCCAAGAGGACACGGAAGATGTGGACTCGACGCTGCAAGACCTAAAGCCTCAGAAAGCTGCCTCCTCCTCATCCTCAGGCAGCCATCACGGGAGCCACAAGAAAAGGAAGAACAAAAACAGACACAGGTACACAATGTAGAGATATTACTCTCTTCTTCTTGAAGAGTGATTTCTCCCAGTAACCAGGCTTCTTGTGTGCATGTAAACACACAAGAAACCTGGTTATTTGGAGAAATCACGTAATATTTGAAAGTATTTACAGGCACAGATAAGACCCTATTACTGTAACATCCATGTCTACATGCATAAGGTCAGGTAGGAATTCCCCTCTACTTTAACCTGTATTTGGTACAATGGCGGTGGTACAATACAAAAAGTCGTTATAGATTTCTTAGTGTTACAACTAGGGATGGGAACGATTAATCGAATATTCGAAATTATTCAGGTATTCGAATAATTATTCAGGTATTCGAATATGAGTTATGAATATTTTTATTAATTTTTTTTTTTTTTTTTTTGGGAGGGATGCCTAAGTTGATTACATATTATCAAATGGAATAATTCAATGTATACGACAGTGCCATAGCTAAATGTGTTAGGTGACGTCTAAAGGTGTGTTTTGCTCCGCTCACCGGTCCCTCACAGCGGGCAGAGCTGCAGGTGCTGATCTCTCTCTCTCTCGCCCGGTACTTCACTCGCGTTTATGTCCAAATCCATCAGATCTAGCTAGTTCTAGCAAATGATATGCCTGCTGCCCCTGCTGCCCCTGCCTACACGCAAATCACGCAGACTCAAACCTCATCTTATGCCCAGATGCGGCGCAAATGCGCTCCGCAGCCGTTGCGAGGTTCCGGCGCTAACAGTTCATGAGTGTGCTCCCCCGCCCCCTGTCAACACTCGCGACACACGAGTGGCCAGCCTAAACAACAATAAGCACTGCTTGGCAACCGTGTGTGGCGGCAAAGTATAGACATTTTGACAGGAGAGATTTAGTTTTGCCGGTATTCAACATATTTTACCAGTCATAGTCCGGTAATTATTTACACTCTAAGAAGAGTCTTGACATGGCGTCAAAAAGGAGTAATGTGTGGAAATATTTCGACCAGGTTAGTGAGTGCGGTGTAGAGTGCAAACTATGCCAAATTAAACTTATATATATATATATACATACTATACCTTGCTATACCCGCAACCTCCGTTCCAGCTGAGAGGGTCTTCTCTACAGCTGGCCTGATTGTGAATCGCCTCCGCACATGAAAGCTGTAGGCCTATAGCTGTCAAACTGTGATCACCAGTTCAATACATTTGACAAATTCGACTTGGTTTCTATACTTATTTGAACAAAAACAAATTTTGACCCAATTTTTTTTTTATAGGCTATTTACATTTCGGTTAACCGTTTTTTGGGGGGGCGAATATTCGAATATACATTTGCTTTCAAATTCCCATCCCTAGTTACAACATGCGACATGTTGGAAGAAAAATAAACTCAATTTTGTACAAAAGAAACAAAGCGTAGTGGCCGGAGTATAACTCTTTTTATGAGATGCTTGTGTTTGGAAAAACATTTTTAAAAAGACAGAATACTTCTAGACCAAGGCTGTTACCGGAAAAGTTACCTGGATACAATGTTAGACACATTTTAAGTAGAAAGTTAAAGGATATTTGATGTTTGGAATAAGTAGATGTATAGACTCCTCAAATTAAAAACTTCTGTGGCTTTAATTATGGGAAAATGTGGTGTTTTGAGGGATCCAATACCTAGATAAACACTGACGTGAATGCATGTTATAAGAGTCACTGTGTAGGGTGACACAAACTGATCCATATGACCGTGTTTTTCCACTTGCCATGTTTAATGTGTACATGTTTCCCTGATTTAAGGCTCCCCTGCTCTAACCACATAATAACACAGCAGGTTCTCCACTAACACACTGTGACGGAGTGCATCTCTCACTCTGTAAAGTCTGGACTGCAGTATTATATAGACGTAGGGCTTTAGACTCAGGTTGGTGAACTAACAGTTGCTGCTCTCTTCCTTCCCCTAATGCTGACCCCCCAGTCCTTCTGCCATGTTTGATTATGACTTTGAGTAAGTCTGAATTTTACTTCCTGCTCCTGTGGTGTTTAAATCATGCCTGCTTCAAACCCCATCCTCACCTTTTTTTCTGTGTTTTCCCTGCTCTGTCTGCTTCTGTTGACCTAGACTTTGAGTTTAAGCCTGCTAGTTATTCAGCCATACTGCATGTCCAACACTTCATCATTTGAATGCATATCAGCATCCGGCACTCTGATTTCCATTAGAGTTTCTTGCTTGGTACTTTCATATCTTTCTGACCCCAGATTCATTTCAAGTGTGCTTCCCAAATTCCAGCAATTAAATAAAACATGGTTGCTGTTGTCAGATGCTGGGCTTGCTACACAAACAAGAACAAACACATGTTCATTTAGTGTTCTTGTTTTGGGGCTTCTTCATGATACTGTAGATATACTGCCTCTCTCCACAATTCCCATTCAAACCAGGTTCTAATCTGTTGTCTAATGTAACCTCTTTTTGTGTTCTTTGCAGATTTGACATGAAAGTGAACAAGAAACCGAGAGCTGTAAGTTCATTTCTTGTGGTTTTATTGTCTAATTATTCTGTTTTTGGTGTTGGAATCTACCATTTGTGTCTGTAGCCGCTACACTTCAGGTTCAGGATATTTATCCATTCCATTGTGACACGTCTTAAATCTCGCAGACAACAGGAACATCTTTCAAAAAAGTAACACATGCTCCATCAAATAAAAAATAAAACACTTGAACAAATATAAACAATATAATAAATAAATAGCCGTTGCTTCCACAGCATCTGAGCGACGCTGCTCGCTCCTTATTATCTTGATTCATGGTTTTATCTGTAAAATATCAGAAAAAAGAAATTTTACACATGTCATTATAATTGTATGCAGACCAAGATGGCTTTGGACAAAAAATGAATGTTTATATTTTTGTCCGTCCAAACAAATATTTTAAGCCAACCTTTACTATAATGTACAACAAAGACAATTATTAATTCCTCCCACAAATACTTAGCATTTTTGCTTAAAACGGACTAAATGAAAATAATTTCAAATGAAAAAAAAAAAAGTTTTTCTAGTGATTGACTTATCTTTGCTGTAATTGCGGTGTTTATTTCTATAAATGAATTCCATTCTTCCTCCTCTGTCCCCTGCAGGACTATTCAACCTAGCAGAATGACTGGAACACGTGGACTCACATGAGGACGATACCTGTAGAGAAACACAAGATTTCTGGACTTTATGAACTTTGTATGCCTTTTTTTTTTTCTCGGATGTCATATTTCAGCCTGTACTGTCTGTGTGTATTGCTTGAAACATTCCCCCCCTCCCATTTCTGTCATCTACATTTTGGTTTTAACCCAAGTACGTAGAAATATGGTGTTGCATGTTACTTGAGGCCGTATTAGGCCCAACTCCAGTAACGCACCATTTGTATAGTGTGAAAAAAGATTGTATTTATTATGTAGTTAATTTCCCATTGTAGGAATGTTAAGCTTTTTTATTTTTTTGTGCTTTTTTTCAAGCATTACGTCGTCACATTACCCCCGAATACCCCAGATTCTTTTATTACATGGTTGTTTTGCAAAAAAATAATAAAATACCAGTAACGGGAATATGTTTTGGTTGTTTGTTAAAAGGCAGTGCTTTGCGTCACTCATCACAGCAGTTAAAGGATTATTATTGGATGTAGGGAAACGGCTCATAATTGCTTGCTGGCTGTAATAAGAACACTAGTCTCTGTTGTTTTTATGTCAATCAGGCCGACACAGGCCTGTGAAACTTTAACATTGACCTCCGGCTGGATGGAGTTCCCACACATATGGTCCATAAAGAGTTAGGGTAAAACTATGGGATCATTTATTTTGGAATAGTCCAAATATGAGTGTTTACATTACATATTCAGGAAATAGCCGGCACATTCTCTTCTGACAGTTCCCAGTTTGTTATATGTAAATAATGACCTAACTAAACAGAGCACAAGCTGATTGACAGCATCATGTTACAAGACATTGCCTGGTTTTTGTCTGTGGAAAACTCATATCTAATACTTTTCTAACAGTGGATGGATTTAAACTCTTGGGAACAGGTGTCTTTTATGCTATTTGATCAACAAATGTTGGAGGAAAGAAAAGAAAAACCTAGGGGGGTTCAACAAAAAAAAACAAGTTAAATTGCTGCCTTAAAAACAAGAGTTAACATCAAGATAAGCTTTGTTTCAACTCACCAAGTTAAGTTATACAAGATGTTTAATTATCATTTATTGTTCAAACTTCAACTGTTGAGAGTTGAGAAGAAACCTTAAATGATACATTATCGATTCAAGAAAACTTTAGTTATCTTGTCAAATCAACTTTAAGTTCTCAACCATCTTAATTCACAATTACAGTTAAAGATAACATTACCTATATATATAATTGTCAATTCAATTCATTTTAACTCGTGTTTTTAAGGCAGCAATTGAACTTCATAAGTAAACAAGTGTTTTTTATTTGTATCTCTTATCTCGAATAATAATGACATTTACCAGTTTACTAAAACTTCTGACTGAATGAACTTTAAACATCAACCAAATATGTATTAAAAGGACATCAAGGCTTAACATTGCTGCAATTATTCAAGTATTTATTTATTTTTGAAAAAAATGAAAATAAATATACATGTAAAAGTATACATGAATTAAAACATTTTGCTTGCAGATACATTAAAAGGATTTCTAATTTTAAACAAAGGGGCTCTATTCTACCACCCAGAGCTAAGACCTTTGGGTGATTTACTTTGTATTTGACCTCCTGCATTTCAATGCAATTGTACTATGTTACCCAGAGTAGCCACTACCAGCACACACTAAAGCTGAATCTCTTTATTGTTATAAATAATTAAATTCTGGTGACCAAAAACAAAGTTCCCACTCCTAAAATCACAAGTCTGTATGTCTTTAGGCTAACAAAACAAAACGTATCCACATTAAAGGACTGTAACACAATACACTTGGAAACAACACACTGAAATTAACTATGGTAGATTATCTCTGCACAGCTTTCGTCTCTGATTTACGGAAGAGGATTAGGGCCACATGAAAATAAATGTTTGGGGATGTGAAAAAAAAATGTTCTTTTTGTTCTGAGAAAAAAGTCAGAATTCTTTTTTTTCACATCCCCATATTTTTTTCTTTTATGTGGCCCTAATCCTCTTCCGTACTGATTGATTCGTTTTCAATATGTTGTTGAATTTGAGAACAAAAGCAGCCCTACATTTGCTGACTCAAAATGTGTTGACTTCAAAAGTTAAAACAATGAAGCTGGCGTTTGCATTATACTTTTTTCTGAATGATGAGCACAGACAACCTTTGTTGGCATTGGTGACACAGCACTTTTTTCACATATTTAGTTTCACTTCCCAAAACATGTTAATGTATACAATCACCAGTTTACTAGGGTTATTATACATTAGAGTCTGTTAACATGGTGGATGGTCTCTCTGCTCAGTTATGTTGTGTAACAGGAGCATCTCCAGCTTCCACTCAGAGTTGCTTTTGGAGACTGTTTGACACAAAAACAAACAAAGAAATCACTGTAGACCACTGTTATCCTCTTAGTGTTTTATCATTGTGCCGACAAAGTACTCACACAGGCAACCCAGAGTTATGAGTCCAGTCAGAAGGAGAAGACACAGCAGAGCCAGACACGCTGCGGCAGCTCTGCAGGAACTCTTCTTCTCTTCTTCAGCATCTGAAGGTACGAGTCAGAGTTTGTTAAGTGTTTGTTTCTCAGTGTAAAATCAAACCAAATTAATTAATTTACATATTGTTGTTCATGTTTTTGAGAGGCACTGACTAACTGAGCGAAATGTGGTCATTCCCTGATTTTCTTGTGCCACCAGAATTGAGATTACCATCTACTACTTTGTGATTAATGTTAAATAGTGAGTCTTATTTTGCTAAAGCATGAAACATTATCAGAAACTGCAAACATTATATTTTCGTTTGCATGCCAATTATAACCTTGTGCACAAAGCTCTGCTACATGCCACCTTGGCTGAACACTAAACATCGGGACTAAAGAATGTCAAAGTGGATTTTAGAATTTCAGGTCTCTTTTGCTCTGCAGTGACCTTATGTTGTTCTTCATTTAACATTTTATGGTCAGGTTTGATCCCAAAACGTAGTTTCGAGCTATACCCATGACAGCAAACCAGATTATTCTCCTATAATATCTTGATTTTTGATCCTCAATATGAATCTGAATAGGACATAATCACATTAATATATTAATATTAAGTGTGCACTTGTTTGCCAATGTTCATTACCCGAGGGTGCAGGTCCAGTGCTGTGCGGCTCGAGGGTGTGGAACAACACGTTTTCATAAATACTTTCTGAACTTTTTAACAAACTCTTCCTCTTGCCGAAAGTAGCTGCTGGGTCCTCTTCATTAACATAAATATCCATCAGTTGATCCATGATGTTCAGCGACTGAGCAGTTTGTGCCTCAGTGTCCAAAAGTATTGAGCGTGTGCTTTGGAAACGGGGAAACAAATATAGAAACACAGATGGCAGTTCACCTTTAACTCATGTCCTTCTCCGTTTAACAGGAAACTGAGGGGAGAGTGGTAGAATTATTTAAGGTATACCAGTTTGGTCTTGCAGCTGCATGTCGGTGCTTCCCATTCTGTCTACAACACTACATGCAGTTTCTGTTGTACCTGTAGAGCATTTACTGAGTATTTCTGATTTGGAAATTTGGGATAGCAGGTATGTCAACATGTACATCGTTTTTACCTCTGGATCCCACATGACCTTTTCTTCATGTACTTAACACAAATCTTATTAAAAAGATCTCTTAGAGAATGGAGAAATAAGTGGACATTCACTTGTAGTTATAACATGTCTTTAAGTCAGGTCACAAACTAATGGTCATTGGTCCCTGTTTAGAGAGGCCCTCCTCCATCAGCATGTAGTTGCACTCATCCACCACCTGAGGGTGCAGCAGAACCAAATAAGTCAGACAGAGAATTTCATCTGTTCATTCAGGACAGAGGGTGTCATTGTCATACTGATATTCTGTACAAACTGTGAAGTCCACTGAGACAAATGTAACATTTGTGATATTGGGCTATATAAATAAACATTGATTTATTGATTGATCTGTGAGTTGATGAAGAAAAGAACATTTTAACCTGGAGATGACCTTTGACCTCCATGAGAGCAGATTAATTCATACTTGATAAATAGTTTTAGTTAAATGTTTAGGCAAAGCTTGACTCTTGCAGAATGGAGTCAGTACTTGTACACAGAAGGAGGCAAAGTTAATTCATCTGCACACTACATGTAAGTCTGAATTTTCAGGGACAAAACATACAGAAAATACATTTTAAAGTTATGGATATGTAAAGGAATGCTGAATTTATTACACCCAGTACTTCCTTGTGCAAAGGAATTGAAAAGCAGTCAATTAAAATATGCTTATAGATGTATAAATGAACAGTTTCTCTATTTATTTCAATAGAAAATCAAATCAAAACATCTCTAAAACTAAAAACTAGGACATTGAAAAGTTGGCATAATTCAAATAAACAAAATAAAATAAGTTAATCCACTACTGTAGTAATTTAACAATTATTACAAATATATAAATGGGGTTGTAACTACACTGCAGAATATGTATTATACCCTTTTCATTACTTTATTACTTACAGACAGTTGTGAATGTTCGTTTTACTGAGGCCTTCACTCTTTCCCTGGGTTGGTGATTCTTAAGTAATGACAGGATTTACACAGGTCTGGAGACATACGGCACATATTTCTCCCAGCAGTATTATTTCTTGGTCTCCTCCCATGTCTCCTCCAGACACCCAGCCCATAAATACTGCAGGAGCTGTGATCGAGACCAGGTTACATGTCAGCCCATGACTCACTCACAAGTCACATTCTGCATCGCCAATTACGTAATGCAATCTGGCTGGAAACTCACACACCAGAATACATTCCACACGTTTAACCTTGGGGTGTGTGAGTAATGAGGCATGGATGTACGATGTGTGTTTCACCACTTAACTGTTAACAGCAAATCTTTGTTTCATTTCCTGTCACTTCAGGAAATTATCTGGAAATAATTGACCAAGGCAAAACTTGAATTACGCTTTTTGGAGCAAAATAGAATTCCAGCAGTTTAACATAAAGTGAGTCAGCTGTATGGGATTTGAATTTCGGAGACTTTTTGAACAAATAAGGAAAATGTGAATTGTAGTCTAAGGCTTAAAAGAATTTGAAGATTTACACTTAATGACAAGCTATTTTAGCGTCTCCTGGGAAGATTCCCCGATTGTAATGAATGAGGTTGCTGTGTTGTTGAAACCACCATATGAGTTCAGTCAAGTGTCAGCCCCACTATGAAAAAACAACTTTAAATAATGATGCCTTCAGCAGAAAGTTAAGAGTAAAGCATACAACTTCATTTCAACCCTGCTGAACTTTACTGGACAGGAAGCTTTTCTTATGTTGTTATTTGTCATTACTTGCGGTGTTGCTGCTCCACTGAGTCAGAGCATGATTCAAACACTGAGGTTGTGTATCTCTTCTTTTGAACTTGCCTCAAAGATTCTTAAAAAGTGCCTTTAATCTTACAAAAAACACTTACCTGTTCGATATAAACCATGTTTTAATAGGTTAAAGACATTTTTGTATCTATGACTTTATCATAATTGCATGGATTATGTTATTGAAGGCAATGTAGGCATTTATTTATCTAATTTTATATATTTATTTGAATATACATGTATGAAATTTATCATTTCTAAGAGTTTGTTGTTTTAACTCTTTTTTGAAAACCTATTAAATATATATAAAATTAAAATAAATCAATTACCAGGACAAATATATGGCAGAATTGTTATTTTTTTATCAAGTTTTGAGGTTTTATTTACTGCTTAAACAGAAAACAAGCATTCTTTTCTAGTAATCATATCTGTCAGTTGGCAAAACAATCTCTAAAAATCGTATCATGTGATCCTCAGTTGTAACAGAAGTTCCAATTTGACTTCCTCTGAGCTCTCCAAGGACTGTGCACCATGTTGGTTCAGCTTAGAGATCAAATGGACAGATGCCATAAAGGAGATCACACATTTAGCTTTAAGCAGCTACTAAATGGACCGTGTGGTAAGATAAAAAGAATGAAAGGTCTGTCTTGGGCTAATCCAGTTAATTGTTAATTGAATACCTGATGAAGTGTTACAACATTGTCACAAAGCAATCTGCAGTTTTCAAACAGAAGCAACCAAGCATAGAGTATATAGAGGAAGGACCATAAACCTCCCTGGCATCAGTTTCCATCAGGACTGTCTTCTACCAAACACTTCCATTATGTAGGGGGGGGGGGGATATCTACGTAAAAACAGAATATTCCATCTGTCTACAAACCCTGTGGGATAAATGACAAATGTGTTTTGGTCAACTGAACCTCGGAAGGTCCAAGCCTTTTTTTCATATCTGTGGTTTAAGTTAAACTGACCCTCTTTAAAAAAAAATCTTAATATCCTTCAAAAGTTACAACAGAAACCCACAGTAAATGTGAATTCCTTTCGATAGTACACACAGTCATCTAAGGACTTAAGGAAATATGCAGCACAACACCCCCCGGTTACTTCTTCTGTGGTCACCCAGTCAGAGTAATGTCTTCTAATTACTTTAACAGCCTCCACCAGCAGGATCCAGCTGAGTTGAAGTCCCTGGCCACTGAGCGGGGTGACGTGAAAACTTAAATATTCACTGAGGAGCTTCAACCCCATCCTTCCTCCTCCCCCCCCCCCCCCCTCCTCCTCCTCCTCCTGGGACTAAACAGACAAGGTCAAACATATCTCAGAAAGAGTCATGGGAAAAGTTCAAACAAATATCAGCACCACATGGTGCTTGTATTTTTCATCTGGAGTCGATCTTGTGATAAGATTTTAACGGGGTATAAAGAACATGCTTGTTGCCGCGAGTCAACACTTTAACACCAGTCATAAATGATGATCAAAAGCAGGAAGTAAAGGAAATGTATATCACTTCTGGACAGCTACATTTCTCAGTTTATGAGGGAGTACCGGGCGCCTGGACTGAGAGGCGGCCACATTTTCACATTAGCAACTGTCATTTTGTTATTGTTAACATTATATCTTTTTTTTATTTGAATAATCTGATCTCTAAGTACGCTTGTTAAGTTTTACTAGAGTTGTGGAGATTTCAGGACTTTCTCAATTCTGTCAAAGTAAAAAAAAAAAAAAGGTTTATATAAGAAATGCTGCTTCCCTTAAGAATGTTCTCTTATTTCTGTCTAATTAAAATATTTTCTGGACACAAAACAAAGTCTTTCAGTTAGCATTAGAAGGAGATGTAACATCGGCTGAAATAACTTTTATGGAAACGTTTCAGTGTGCCTTCACTACATCATCTTGGTGTTCTGCTCCCTCTTCTTGACATGGACACTAGCCTTACACAGACTCCATATAAACACAATCAGAGCAGATCAGAACAGAGGTTCTGAACTGTAAATATTTATGTAGATTATGTAAGTAATACTAAGGGAAAGTCTGCATGGGACTACTCATATAAAGCCATTTCTGGTTAACGGGGTAAGGATCTTCTTAAAGAGGCCCTGTTGTGCTTTTCGGAGTTGGAGTTTACCCTTTCCTGTAGTGTGTTATAGGTTTGTGTGCATGTCAATGGTTTCGAAAGGCTAAAATCCCAAAGTTCCATCCAAAGGGGGTTTCCCACACACTCCCTCCGCTGCCTGGAACGCCTGTATTGGACTCCTTTGTTTACTTCTGTAACATGATGACATCACTATGTAACACTTGCGCTTCTATTGGCTAGTGCTCCTACACATTGAGTGTGATGGCCAAGAGGCGGGACATCTCTAAGTGGTTGACCAATACACAGTAGTCACCATCTTCCTGAGTTTTTTTAAATGTAATAAATGTGAAGAATGTGAAGACATGTAATGGGTTATCACAGCAAAATAAATATTTTGTGTTAGGTCCTCGATACAAATCAAAAGAGACTTCTGACTACTGACTTTTAACTCTGTAGTGTACAAATCCTACACAAGAGACATTTTAATTTAACAGAAGGCTATTTGTTCAATGTTATGTCATTTCTGAGTGTATTGTAAAAACAAGAAGCACACTGTTTGCAGGAGGAAGTCAATGTTTAAGGCAACATTATTGTGCATGTACATGTTAATATAGACAGTTAGCCATTTGTTAGTTAATATCTTCAACACACTTTGTTTTTTACATGTATTATTATTCCATGTACGCCATTAGAAAATGTTGTAAGCTGAAAAGAATACAAAATATATATGTTTCCTTCTAACAGATCATTTTCAACAAATACGTTTACATACAGCACATAGAGAAGAGCAAGGGCTGTTATATATATTGTAATATTCTTTAAAAAGTAGAAATACAAGCATACGTCCTAGCACTTACATTTTGGTTTTGTCTAGCAGTGATGAAGAAAATAGTTAAAATAAAAACAGTTTAATTTAAAGTCATACATATACGTTTCTTATATGTTATATTTCATGTGTGAAAAATATAAAATTATGGGAAAAAAAGTCATACGCATATATTGCAGGACATTTCGGCAGAATTTATACAAACATATCAATGTGCTAAAGGCTGTCATGAGTATTGAGTTGTTAATACTGAGCTTTGTATCAGCTTCACACTGTGAGTGAATTAGGAATATTGCAGTGTTCATGTGCACGGCCGACGTTTATACGTTTTGCTGCTCCTCTCGGCCGTGGTTGATGTCTGTTGCAGGTGTGGTGTCGGTCAGTCGTCGTTGTTGCAGTCTGTACACAGAATCTGGTCGCGGTCCGGGAAGAAGCCGGAGCCCACCAGCGACACGGAGCAGCGATAACACTTGAAGCACGGCTGGTGCCACTGCCGCTCCTCAAAAGAAACGTACTTCCCATCTCCAAACCCTGAGAGACACAAATACACCACATGAGCAACTAATGAAGGAATGTTTGACTGGGGGTGGAACATTTAATAACAGCCTTGCACCATGGCGGAAATAACAAAACTGAATTCAAGATAACATCAGAGGTTGGCAAATACAATAAAAAAGGCGCTGCCAGTTCTGGCAACCTGCTCGTCCTCATAGCTGTGGTCAAAATATCAATTTAAAGTTTCTCTTAAAGGTCCCATGTCATGCTTTTCCGGTTATTACCCGTCCCCTTGTGTGTTATGTAGCTTTTTATGCATGTAAACGGTCTGCAGAGTCACAAACCCTCAAAGTACACCCTGTAGCGAGTAAAACTCTAACACAGAAAAGACCTGTCTATGCTGCCCCAGAACGCCTCGTTGGAGATTTATCTTTTTCCATTTGTTTCTTCCGGGAACCAAGTGACGTCATGCGGTTCCCGGAACCAAAATGGACCAATCCGCGGAGCTCCTCACACACCAGGACCTTTAGCGTACATTTTCAACTAACAGGGAGTCCCATTGACTTGCATAGAGCTCCCTGGTTGGTAATAGACGAGAAATGCTCTCTGCAGACCCATTCTCACAGCGTTTATAAACCTTTTTCTTACTCAATATCAAGCCACACTTGTTGTTTTTACTTCGGCTGTGAGTGTTTGTGTGTGCTCAGGATGAGTTTCGCGCTGTCCCGCTGTATCGCCGAAACCACACCAGTAAGCCAGATCATTGAGCAGCGAGCCTCGCAACGTCCCGACCAATCAGAGCACACTGGGCTCACAGGGAGGGGGGGGGGGGCAGGAGCTCAGACAAGCCGTTTAGGACAGAGAGTGAATACCTGGTGAATACACATACTTTACAGAGATGCTGTATGAGAAACCAATGTGAGTTTGGAAAATTGCACTATTCTAGTAGACCTCAACAATGGAATTATGATCAGTAGAAATGGCCATGACATGGGACCTTTAAAGCCATCATGTGACGAGTTTGTATGTGATTTACGTTTTTTTTAAATGGGAAAATTAGACAATCCTGTCAGAACTGGCTCATTATGTGCTTTTATTCAAGGATACTAGTATACAAAGCTTCTTTCGAGCCTTATAGATAGTTTCAGCTCATTATTCAGCCATCTGGCCCGCAACTTTACTGTTTTGGTTGACTCTCGTAGCTCTCATAGTGTCGTTTTTAACCGCGTAATGCAGCTGTTTTCGGATAAAGAACTTCTTCAAATCCACTGTATGCTGCTACCTGTTCATCACCGAACAGCAGACTGATGCAGTTAGCAACTAGCTGGTGAACATTGAGGAGCATTTAGCAGCTGAAGAGACAGATATTTCAATTGGGAGCTGGTGGAGACCAAAACTGAGATTAAAGAGAATCAATTGTGGACTCCAACATGAAGGAAAAATCACTTATTGCATGTTTAAACCTATAAATCAAGTCAAGGTTTTCGCTACTATTTATGATTAGAATTTGTTCTGAAATATCTATTCAATGTATTTATATTATGTATTTAGTGGAAGGGTCTACCATTTCGAGTGGGATTCAAATTGTCGTCATACACATGAAAGACTCACGGGAAATATGTTATCAAAACTGATCGAAGCTTTACTGCTCCATCTTCTAATGAAGGGTCAAAACATTAGTAACTAACTGCTAATACCTGATCATTTCTACTGCTGCCTTTTCACAACAAAAGCTGGCCAAACACAACACAGCATTGATTTGATTGTTTTCTTTCTATTGTTGTGTTAGAAAAGTTATTTCTTTAGACAATAGAGAGAAATCACACAACACAAAAAGAGGATGAACGCAGATATGCAAACCGCAGAGAAAGTATTAGAGCCAAGTTTAATCCTGACACACCTTAACGCCTACACCTGTTTGTTGAAGATAATGAATTTGACATGTTGTTGATAGTAGATAGTCGAGACAGACAGGAATCACAGGGAGAACAAAGATAGGAGTTGACAAACAACCCCAGACAGACTTGAACCAGGGATACACCTGAATTGTTTTGAGGTCCTGTATTCTCCACTGACCTGTGATGGCCGTGTTGCAGCCGGCACACTTTTTGGCATACAGGCTGCTGAAACACTTGACACAGTACGGACTCTCCCCCTGCGAGGTGAAGGGTTGGCCAGCCAGCGGAGCTTTGCAGCCCGTGCAGAGAAAACACTCTTTGTGCCACACCTCGTCCTTGTAGGTCACCCCTCCTTTAGTCAGAGCCTGCAGGACACAGAAGGAGTCCAATAGGAGAATTTAAGAAACTTATTTTCAGTGACACATTGTTTTTCTACACAAATGGAGATTTCCACCCCATGTTTTTACTGTAATCTGACACGTGTATGGTGAAAAAACCAACTTCATTTTATTAAAATAAATGTTATCAGTCAAAAAAGAATTGTTGTAGCCAGTAGCCAATTCCTTGACATATTGTGGTTTAGTTTCATATTGTAAAAACGCACGCAAACTCTTCAAAAGTGGAGCAATGCCTACTTTGAAATATGAAATCCTAGTTTTTGTGTATTTTTTACAGGGCTCCACTTTATGACATAATGGCTTTTTGGCCTTCTTGTTTCATTCCTTTCTCTTATTTATTAAGAACTTAGTTTTTCCTTTCTGTAAATGCACAAGTAAAAGTCAAAAGAAAGGAAAAAGCAAAATATTGTTCAACCATTACCTATCTAACTAATTAGACAAAAATATTATCAAACAATTTTGATAATTGATTTATCTTTAAAGTCCTTTTAGAATCATAATTCTCAAACTGCTTCTCAGTAGCTGAGATTTGCAGATGTTCTGTATTTTATAGCTTTGTAAATTAAGTATCTTTAATTTTGGGCTTATGGTCTAAATAACAAATCATTGGAAGTTGTCCTCTTGGTTTCTGGGAAACACACATTGGTGGATTTGATCATATATACTGTATGAATCATTGGAAAAGTTCTGTACAGATCGATCAGAATCCTGTTTCACCTTCTTGCAGTGGTTGCACTGAGGAGCCACCCTGCCCTCGTAGCACGGCACACAGTAGTAGTTGTTGTCGTCTGGGATGAAGGCCTCGGCACCGATCGGCTTCTCGCAGCCGTGACACACAAAACAGTCCTCGTGCCACGTGGAGCCGCCGTACTCCAACAGCTTCGACCCTGTCAGTGGAAAAGAAAAAAGGAGCAGATGAGAATGAACATTTACATTTTTGTAAAAGTGTGCTGAAATACTCCCTGACATTTGCATCCTTTGTGTGTGACTTGGGCATTCCTTTGATCTCTGACTATGTGCTGTAAGTCATTATAAGCTGGAATGAAATCTGATAGCATTCGTCACAATGAGAGAACCAGAAGTGATGATTCAGTGCGACGGCTCAACCTGTTTTTACACAGCCCTCCTGCACCATACAATTACCTTAGCTTATCTTGCATCAAAACAATCTGACAAGCTGTAACAAAGCAATGCTCTGAAACTGGCCTCCTATTTATTTTCCAGTTTTAACCATTTCATAAGTGGCTGTTTTCTTTGCTTTGAAACACATGCTTCACTGAAGAGGTTTATAGAAGTAAGGAGCCAGTCATGCCTCTGAGTTTCATTTAATCACGGGGCTTGTTACAACCTTTTGGGACCTGAAGTGCAACCCAAAGGAATGACAGTGGGATAAACTTGAACTTGGTTGCACTTTTAGGAAAACGGAGCTGCATTTAAAGGCATTCCAGGCTGAGCAGAAACTGAAGGAAATCACTGCTGAGTTCAGAAAATAACTGGTGAGTTTTGATATCCCACACTACCCACAGGCCCCTGGTAATTTTCAGTCATCCGACACCACTGCTGTACTGATGTCGTCACAGCGGCCAGAGCTGAAAAAAACCCTGCTTGGAGATATTTTCAGCAGAGCAAGGAAGCAATCATCCTGTCACATCTTTAGCTGTCACACCCCGGATAACAAAAAAGTAATTAGCCCTTTTATCCCCGCACAGACAGGGTGTGAACTTTTTCGACTATTTGAGTAATTACTTAAGGATGTGTCCCCGAGGAGGTTTGTTAACTTGGAGTTGGAGGAATAAAGAGTCTTTATTGTCGTTACCTGGCATGACTGTCTTGTCGCAGGACACACACTTGGAGGAGAACTCGCTGCAGTAGCAGTCGCTGCACACCAGCGCGGCCTCCTGGCTCGTGAAGGGCTCGTCTGCCAGAGAGCGGTCGCAGCGGAAACAGCGGAAACAGTGAGAGTGGTAATGTCTGTCCTCATAGGAGAGTTCCTGGAAGAAGAGGGAAGTGAAACTGAGCAACCTGTAAAACCAGTCAGGTTAAAAATGTCCCCATAATAAAAAATGCTAAAGGATTTGTAGGGGACAGTTCATTTTTAAAATGCCTTACAGTTGAAACCTTGTTTGCCAAACCAAAAAATCCAGGGTAAAAAAATGCAATTATAAAACTACATGATATGTGATTAGAATGGAGATCACAAAAGGAATCATACACATCCAGCAGACTGGATAAAACAAAGAAGAATCACAAGATTATATCAATCAAAACAGAAGTTTAAAAAATAAATAATAGTTAATCTAATGAATTGGTTTGGATTGTCATGTAATGTAAAAAAAGAAAAAATGTGTAAAGAAGTCTTTAAAGTAAAATTAAAGCAGCTCCAGAGCAAAACTAGGAATATTGAGAAAGACTACACTGTAGGTAGCTTAAGACGTAGCAAGTGTTTTTTTATTCTAATTAATAAAAGTTGTAATCTGAAGAAGTAAAATGCTTGCTTGCTCAATCAAATACTCCTTTGCTATACACACAAAAAAGTCAGATATTGAGAGAAGGATTATTGTGTTGTTGGTTTTGGTCTTCTTACGGCATTTGTTGATAACACAACAAATATAAATGAATCCTTTCACTGTCAAAATATGAGAAATCAGACATTTAACCTTAAACTCTAGGTTAATAAAAAATAATTTATATTTTATGGTTCCTCACACCTTGATTCATTGTTTGCTGCATAGAGGTCAGGGGCCACGGTCAACAACAGGACTAAGTTACTTTGGATGTTTTTGGATGTTTGCCCACACGAGTTCAACCCTAAAGATTATTTATTTCCACGACACCCTGCTGTGAACAGTAGAGTATGAGAAAAAGCATTGGAGAAGTTTTTGTTGTGCATTCCCTATTCTTCATTGTTAGTTATACTCAGAATAACACCGTTTTCTTTTTTTAATCCAACAGCTGCATGCGTTCCAGTTCATCTACAGTTCAGACGACCTCTGTGATGAATGGCTCCACTGAACGGTGGGTGAAAAACTTATTTTTGAGGCGTGGAGTTTCACAGTAAGAGAAACAACTAAAGCAGGAGGATGACGGATGGTGAAGGATGAATGTTGTTGTGTCTTGTGCTTAGGAGGGACGGCCAAAGAAAGCAGAAGTTTAATTTACTGCCGGTCCCTCACAGGGAGCACATCATTCACAGCACACTGATGGCCTCATGCAGGCTGTGGGTGTTTCCTACAAGACAGTGTTTCTAATTTTCACTAACTAAAGCTTTTCACAATCTCAAAACAGATTACGGATAATTTGATGTTCTGGAAGTAGAGATATGTTTTCCAGGAACTCCAGTAGTTAGAACATTCATCATAATGCAATCAGATATCAGTGTACTCAGATGATTAACCTCTGTACTAGATTCAACAATACAATGTAAAAAGAAAACCTAGGGCTCTGGGGAAACTGTGATTGTCATTTTTAACTCTTTTTAAATGTTTAATAAACCTAATGATTAACAGATAATTAAGAAAATGACCATTAGATTTATCATAAAGGGAAAAAAAATTGTTATCTGCTAATTTATAAAATCATCTCATAGATTGCATTCAAGTCTTAATGTAAGCTAAGTAGAAGTATAAGTATAAGAAAAAAGAAGTAAGTGAGTAAGAGCCATTGAGTAAATGTACATAGTTACTTTCCGTTAGCATTAGAGCTTACCTTGGCATTATGTCCGATGACTTCTTTACACTCCTGGCAGGTTTTGGCATACAGGCGGTCGTAGCAGGGGATGCAGTGGGGCTTCTCCTCCACCTGGATGTATTTTCGCCCGCACAGGGACTCGTTGCATGTTTTGCAGTCTAAACGGTCGCTCATGATGTCTTTCTTCTGTCTGAGAGAATGCACAGACACAGTTTAGTATTTCATATCAGCAAGAAGACAGTGCAGGAAGGAGGAGGAGAAGGGAGATTAGTAATACAGAAAGAAAGCAGGAAGAAGGGAGGCAGACAGTTTTTGGATATACAGCTGGGAAGTAAGACCAACAGGAGAGACAGAAATGGGAGTAAAAGAACAAACCTTTTAAAGAGCTTAAAGTGCTCAAAGACACTTTTTACACAACTTAAAGAGATCCTAGAATGTTTAGCACGCTTAAATGCATCCACTATTTATTTTGAAAATGAACTGGAGGGGACCAAGCATTGAACCCTGTGGGACGCCTCGACCTGGGCAGACTATGAGACAATGGGCCCCTGGGCACAGACATGCAAAAGGCCCCACTACTTCTCCTAAATATACAAGGGCACACATACTTTGGAATTCTTTAGCCTCCTTTTGCTATTGCTTGTAACTCTCTGTAGTCATCTCTCTGTGGCGTTGTGTCTTTTTGTGGTTGTTTAGTGTTGTTTTTTATTTGTTTTGATCCTATAATGTTGTTTTTTTGTCAGTGGTTGCTTTGCCACTTTTTGCATTAGTTTGTAGGTATTTTGAGACTCTGGATAGTTGTTTTGTGTCACTTTGTTGATGTTTTGCCCTGTTTAAAAGCTGCAATGAGTTTATTTGTGGTCTCTTAGTGTCTATTTGAAGATGTTTTGCATCTATTTGTTTTGGTCTGGTGATTGTCTTTTGTCTCCTTGAGGGACATATTGAAGGTAAATGCCAGGGGGGTATGTGCCTGGCAACCTCAGCACAACAATTTCCCTTTGGTTAAATAAAGTTCCTATCTTGTCTTGAAGTAGAAAGGTGTGGTCGATGGTATTCAAAGCAACAGAGGGGTTGCAGAGGTTAAACATTTTCAAATGACCAGAGTCTAAGAGGAGGAGGTTGTTGGAGACTTTCTAATAAGTGTTGAATCTCATTTAGATTCACATTTAACTTGTACGAAATGGAGATACCCTACCAAAAGATATTATACTGCAGTTAACAGTTAAACATTGCAAGCAGAGAAAGGCTGAACGAACCATCTAACACAGAGTAAATGTATTGTAAATCAGTAATGTAATTATATAACTGCTTCTCCTGTTTGATCACTACCCACTAACAAGTACAAGTTAATAATGTCTGCTTCTCCCTCTCCCCCACTCTTGAACGAAACCCCCTGTGGTGGTTTGGCGTTGAGAAAGAGAAACCAAACAATATTAATTGTTAGGAGCTGAACTGAAACAGCCTTCTCTATTTCAAAGGCTCTCTCGAGGGCTTTTTCATCTTTTTTGGCCTGTGTTTAATGGGCTCCTTTGTCTAGTTTATACTTTTCTAGTTTAACCAAATTCAGAACTTTCTCTTGCGTTCTGTAACAAAATACCATGCTTGTAATGCTGTTAGGATGTTTCATTGCTGCGACTTAGTAATTACTCTGATCTAGACAATATACTGTGTATTCTATGACAGCTGTGAACATTTCACATCACTTTCACACGACATATAGTACTCTAAATATTGTACTTCTTTATTGAATAAAAAAAAGACTGTCTTAAGAGAATACCGGTTATATTCTTCACTAATACAACATTCTGCAGGGTACTTTTAATTTACTCCAAAAGCCCAACTTTGTTAAATATTTAATTGGACCTCAGTTGCTCATAAAATATTTGAATAGGAGTAAATTACATCCTAAATCCCATTTGCCTCATTATGGAGCTTTTTATGATAGGTCTTGATGCTTGCCTGGGTTTATGAGACTAAACACATTCCCAATAAATAAAGATGATTGCTCTCCGAAAATTACCTCAATTTAACTCCAAGCAGATCAAAAGCCAGAGAGAAACAGGGTAAGATGGAAAATAAAGTCTATAATATATGATAGGATAATGAAAATAATCATAATACAGTCATTGTAATGCTTTAAAAAAAAAAAAAAAACGTGATGACAGTTTCGATGTACAGCTTAAATACATTGAGTCTCTAAGCATCAGTTTAAGATGCCCTTTTTGAATAAATCATTGAATCCAGAGCTTGTTAAGCAGAGGAAGGACAGGTGGAAATATGTCTGGGAACACTGACAATAACATCATCACACCATTATGACTGCACACAGTGAGGCATTAGCAGGGTATGTGACCCCATGTTCTGCAGCAGCCAAGGGAAATGAGCGAGGAAATGAAGTGTGGGAGGTTAAAATACCCTCCTGTGGAACAGTTAAGACAGGCCAGACATGGCTCAGAGAGATATATACAGTGTGGATGAAGATTATGGATAAGGTCTCTAAGTTTGGGTATATGTTCATGGTCCGGATCATTATGTCTGGAACATTCACAAAGGCAGAAACTTGAATATATTTGACTTGGAAACAGTAATTGTTTATAATTTCTCTCCCTATTTTAGTCACAGCATGGCTTTAACATGTTTTTATAACGTCAGAAAAGAGGAGGTGGGTTCAACAATGTACAGCTGAGAAGCCGTGTGGCTTTGAAAAATCCCTGAAGGATGACTGTCCTCCCCCCGCTCCCCCCGCCCCCCATCCTAGCTCCCTCTGGAAGACGTCAGCGAAACGATGAGAGGACCCAGACCACAGCGTAACCCAATGACGACAACTCTTTTTACACAAAAATACACATTTTATAGTGCTGATACGAAGCTGGTAAGAATTAAAGGTCACTCGTTTTCCAGATCCAGACATTAATCGTTACTGCGCCTCATGATAGCTAACCAGAGGTGGAAAGTAACTCATTACATTTACTTAAGTACTGGACTTATTTAAAATGTTGAGGTTCGGGTTTGACTGTTGGTTTCACTTTAAGTAATCTTGACACCATTTCTTAATATTTTAGGTATTCTTACAAACCAAACTGATCAATTATTGAGGTAAAAAATCATCATATTAATCCATAATGAAAATAATTGTTAGTTAAAAGTTAAACATGAGCTCCACCTTGACCTACTACAACAGTAAAATGCAGCTCTTACATTCATTAATAGGTAATAATAATCTAAAGGTATAATTGGTAAAACAGTCACAGGGGTAACATTTTCAATGTACATTTTGATGTTAGCACGTTTCCTCAAGGATCTAAATTCTCCATGCACCACTGACAGTAACCTCCAAGTATTTGCATCTGGTCTGCTTAGGAGTCACCGTGAAAGTGCAGTTTACATTCCTCATGTCTGTCGGCTATCAGACATTTTGTTTCTAATAACCAATGATGCAGCATTTTCGGATAAACATAAAAAGATAAACATGGCCTGCTCTCGCTCATGTCCTACAGTCGATGCCAGAATCAGAAACATAGCCTGTTAGGAGACTTTTTCTCTCATTGCAATGTTAGCACGACACAGAGGACATCCCTCCTGCATCCCTCCTCTCTGCAGATAACAACGCTGCTTCCTCTTGCAGGGCATCAAGCTGGGTCAACAAAACAAATTGGACCAAACCAAACTGAGAGAAACATCCTCTGTCTGTTTTCTGTCCGATTGCTGTCTGGATGAGGGAATCAGTCCGACTTCCCTCCTAAATTGTCTAAAGAGGTTTGGGCTTCTATTCTCGTCCGTCCATGTCTACATTGAATGCAGTGATAGAACAATGGCTTCCCTTCCGGACATAGTCTTCCCAGTGTTGAGCTTTATGTTTCTCTTCCTGAGCCACAACATCTGCGAACACATTTGTGGTTTCCAGCTGTTTTTTTTGTCATCAAATTCTCCTTTAGCCGTCCAATAGACATAACAGCATCTCATTACAATCCATTACTGTTGAAACAAGTATGTTATGGTTCCTATAGGACAGTCCAATATAACTTTATAGTCAGCTATAAAAAAAAGGCAAATATGCTAAGAATCACACTGTAGGAACATTTGGGTGAGAAAGTGAGCATTTATCATGATGCAGCGTTAGCTTGGCATGAAGACTGAAAGCTCTTTACAAATCCCCAAAATGCCCATTAAAATGGACTTTTTAAAATAGTTCTGTTTAGTCCAATACACAAACAGACATGTTTTTCTACATTTCTGTCCATTAAGGGATTAAAGTTGTTATTGTGTGAGTTTGGTGTTTACCAAGGTTTAGTCTGGATTGACCAAAGTCACACAATAAGATAAACAAATGACTATCTATCTCAGGTGTTATGCGAGGAAAATACATTTTCCAATTAAGTCTGGTGGCTTAGATACCGGTTTCAGTTCCCCATCAGAAATTACTCTGGAACGGCAAGGTAAAGCAATGGAAATATAAAAAAAAAAAACTACTGCTAACTTGCTATGGCCTTTTTCAATAGGTTTTGTTGACTTCTCTGTCCACACCAGTTCATTTCTTTGCTTTTATGGACGAGTGCCAACCATCATCTACTGCAGGTTAAAGACTATGGACAAGAACCTCATATAACACGCCCTCAAACGATCCAAACTATCCCTTTAAGGTCATAATTGACATCAAATGAACATCTGCTACGAGTCTGCTTATCTTCACACCCTCCAGACTGTGTGACATTAATAGTCTGAAACAGTGACTCACATGCTGACAGCTCTTTGTTAAGGAGGTTTTCACTTTGCTCTACAGGTGTCCTCTTGAATCACACCTAAGAATACTTGTCGCCCCTGTTCTCCTTCTCAACACCGGACATTAAAGTAAACACTCCATCCTACCTAAGTACTCGCTCTTTAGTTGCACGGCAGCTGAAACTATTTAAGCCCACAATTCACCTTGATGAGTGGACATGTTGAATTCTCCTCCTGATACACTGTCTGTCCCGCTGAGAGATTTATAAGAGTGTCTTTGGCTCTGAGCGCTTTGTAGTGGCAGCCAAATGGCAACTGTCTCCCAGGCCTCCTGTCTCATGTCCCTTCATGGCTCGCTGCTGTTGTTTCACTCCTCTACAACCCGGACACTTTCTTACGACCGGAGCCAGAAAACACTGCTGTTCCTGGTGCTGGGTGTTAGTGTTTATTTTTCCCTGGAGGAATTTGGGC